AACCTAGATGAGGGAAAAGAAAAGCTACTCATTTATTTCATATTTTTTTTTATTTTAGAATATACCTTGAATTCCTTTTTTCCTTCTCTGATTTTTTACTGAGTTTTTGTGCATTTCATATAATACATCTTAAGCAAATTTAAGCCCACTCCCCCCTCCCCACCCTCTATAACCCCCACCACCGCCATCACATTTCAAGTATTCTATCATATATGTTAAGTTCTATCTGGTCAAGCATTTTTGCCCAGGTGTCCCTCAGTACACGTTCATCCACTGGAGTCTAGTCAGCTTATCTAGAGTCACTCCCTTTAAGAAGATCTACTCTCCCACATCTCACGGTAATCATTTGCCAATATTGCTATCCTAATTCTAACATCAGCTTGTTTACAGCACAAGCATGCAATGGTTTTGAAAAATATGCAAATAGTTTCATTTGAAAATTTTCTCAAAAACTGGCTTATCAATAATGCATAATACAGAGTTGGAGAGAGAAAGTGCTTTCATGGAGCTATTTTGAACTTGCACCTTTGTGTCTCAAGAAACTCTGATTTTTACTACATTCATAGCAAAGAACTGAGCAACTACTGGACAGCTGTCAGCTTCAGTCACAATCTCATAACAGGAAACAGACTGCTGGAGACATTTCTTTCCTGATCTCTTTCAAAATAAGTGAAGGAAACATTTTTTATTTGACATGGGAAAATGTATATAAAATGATTTTTAGAAAATCCACTACTATTTCATCTTTTATAAAAACACTGGCATGCTGCATTACTATGCCAACATTATAATTACCTGAAGAAAACAGCCTGATTCTTAGTGTTAGTTTTTAAGAGTGGGCCCAAACTCAGAGGACACTCGTTCCCCAAGATCTCTTGAAACCGTGCCCTGGAATTGTCTTGCTGGAACCGTGTTCTGGAACTATGTTCTTAGGTCAGGCCTCATTCGTCATTTTTATTCAAAATTTTGTCCAGTTTCAGTTGGGGAACTTCAAGCTTGATTCCACCTTTATCTTAGCAGACAGTCTTGTCTTTTCAGCCCTAGTTCCAGAATATCACATGCATACAGTATCAGGCATCCTTTCTCCATCTTCATGTTTTCCATGAAGATGAGCAGGCTGTCTTTCACCACTGCGGTATGTTAATCCTTAAGCATAACCACATGTGTTCCTTATCTTTTTGGGTGGACTGGCAAACAGAGTTTTTCAGGAAATAAGATTAGGAACCCAAGTGACAAGAGGACATGGTTGGGTGAGTTTGCCAAGTTAATTAAAAGTCATTAGTCCAGATTCTAGTCATTTTATAAAGGTCATTCCTACACTGGCAAGGGCCTACAATTAGGGAACACTTAAAATTTGGCAAAAAAAAAAAAGTTGCAATTTAGTAGAAATTAAGAAATATTGACTTTATTTTTTTTATTTTAAATATCTATTTTTATTTTAAGAATATGCATGCTTTGCCTGCATGTATATAAGTGCACCCGTGCATGTAACGCCCACGGAGGCCAGAATAGCATGCTGAATCTCCTGGAACTTCTGTTACAAATGGCTGTTAGCCACCATGTGGCTGCTGGGAACCAAACTTGTGTTCTTGACAAGAGCAGCCAGTGATCTTAACCACTGAGCTATCTCTCCTACCCCAATACTGACTTCTTTACCACAGCAACCAGATTGGGATAACCAAGGAATTGTGAGAGCCCTCTCTGAGACTACTGAAGTCCAAGCCCAACATCACTGAAACAAGCTTCAAGTGAACAGTAGATGATAGTATCATTTTGTTATGTTTTGTTTTGTTCTGTTTTGTCTTGTTTAGACAAAGACTCCCTGTGTAGCCCACACATGCCTCAAACTCATGATCCTGTCTCAGGTTTTCAAAGTGTTGTGATTACAGGCAGGCATATACCACCATGCCCAATTTTAGCTTTTGTTTTGTAAATACTTTAATAAACCTAACTGAACACTTATGAATAGGGTCTGGAGAGATGGTTCAATGGTTAAGAGCAATGGCTGCTCTTGCAGATGACCCAAGTTCAATACCCAGCACCAACAAACATGGTGGTTAATAACCATTCCTAACTCCAGTTCCAGGGGATTTGATGCTCTCTTCTGACCTACACAGGCACTGTACAACATGGAGATGCATGTGTGCATGCAGGCAATACACTCATACATGTAAAAATTTTTAAACATTTTTTAAAAGACATGAATAGATCTAAGGGCCCCCAAAGGGGACACAAATCATGCCAATGCTCTTTTATTCCAATGCCAACTCTGTGACTGAACCAAGGCAGCCACTCAGTAATGTGTCCTGCCTGTTTTTAGTGATTTTTCTCTGAGCCACCAGTCTTAGCAATTAGCTACGGCTCCTTCAATGGCAGGAAAGATGTGCCACTTCAGCAATGAAATAGGAACAAGAGTTAACATGTTAGCAACAAAAAGACTAAGAAATGCCATTAGAAATGACATTGATAACCTCATTCCCACTGACCCAGTCAAAGAACTTATTTCTCTATATTTTGAATTCAAGTTGAAGAAGATAATGAGAGGGCAAAACACAAATAAACAAAGGGATAAAAATCTAGGAAATTACACAGAGTATGTCCTTAATCCATATTTGAAAAATATATTTTCTAGTTTACTTAAATGAACATAACAGTTCACAGGAACCAAATTGTTTCCCACTACCTTTGAATGTTACTTAAGAGTGATACGGTTTCAAGCTGCTGTCAGAACAGAGCTACACATTTACTAATTTCTCCTCTGATCTGCCATTTTGTAAACAAGTTATAAAGCAGTAAAGGCATCTTAGGGCTCGGAGGATACTCAGTAGAAGAGGTGATTCTGTTCCACTTGAACAAAAGCAAACTCTTACCAAAAACTCTGGCTACAAATCCTAACGGAAACTGAGAGGCAAAGAGTGTGAGGAACCAGGGGGCAGCATACAGACTGGGGCTGATCTCATTCTCTTCAAGATGATTGTAGAGCTCTCGGTGGTAGTCATGAAGAAGTCTGGACAGCTGGTACATCTGGATCTGAAGTTCATGTGGAGAAGAAAAATAAAACCTTATGTATTAATCTGAGTGGTTATAAAATACACTAACTTTTGAATTTTGTTACTTTAATAACAACACACATTGAGTAGTGATAAAGGTAACACGACTTTATTTTTTTGCTATTTTTAAGTTGGTGCTAAAATCCACATTCACTTCATTTGGGTCATAAAGGAAGTCACTATAATTTGATCTAAGTCTCTCGAGCAAGGTTTTGGAGCACGTCTTTGGTATCATGTGCATATCTGGAAAGAGCCCTTCCTCTTATAGAAAGGCTTTGCTTTGGACATTTATTCAGGTATGTTCTGGCTCTGAATTCCTCCTTTCTAATTTCAGACTAATTCCAGAAAAACTTCTGTTCTTAAAACTCTATGGCATTCAGTGCAGAAAATATTGTGTTCCTATTTGCTGGGCCCAGTGACTGACTTATGGCATATTTCTAGCGTTGTCTAGCTTGTACAGAATGAAAGCTTCTAGAATATTCTGTGGCAAAGCCACAGATGTTCCATCTAATAAACAAATTATTCCAATAACATATTTTTAAGATAAAGTAGATTAAACAAAAAGTGCAGTTGTTTCTAATTATTTCTAGAACTAGAAGAAATTGTTTCATTTGGCTACTGAGTTTATATTGGCATTAAAAAATATTTTTAGGGCTGGAGAGATGGCTCAGCAGTTAAGAACACTAACTGTTCTTGTACAAGACCCGAGTTTGAATCCCAGCACCCACATGGCCACTAACAACTGTCCATAACTCCAGTTCCAGGGGGATCTGACTGCCTCGTCTCACCTCTGCGGGCATTGTACGACACAGGTGCACTTACCTACATTCAGGCAATACACACAAACACATAAAATAAAAATAATAAGTAAAATATTAAAAAATATTTCTAACACTTGCTCATAGATAGTTCTCTGTGAATTACAGGCCAGTTTGATTTACATAGCAAGTTCCAGGCCAATCAGGGCTGTATAATGAGATCCTGTCTCAAAAAAAAAAAAGCATAAATAAAGGGTTTGAGCAGTTTTCATGGAATTCACAGGGATTTAAGAGCTACATGCGGACTTGACAAACAACTGATTAGTTGGTTTTATGGTAAGACAGGCCTGCATTTGATTCCTGCCATTGGAATCAGGTACTAAAGGAGAGGTGGTCCTCCCTCTCACTTCTCAAGTAGCCTAGAATTTTATGTCCTCATTGAACAGCATATGAAATCATGAACACAGAATGCATATGACACAGCTCATAAAGACCAGTGTCATGCTCTCTTCACCTTCATCTCATTCATAGGTTAGGAAACTGGAACACAAAGATGTGAAGAGTTGGGTTCACGGTCACACACCCAACCGATTCCTACAAGTGTTTGTCCTCTAGACTTCTCCTCTCATGTGGAATTCCACTGGTATGAAAAAGACTGGCCTTTTACCCTTTTATGTTTGGCTCCTTGAACGAGAGGAGACACTTATCTGATTAGAGAAACTGGGGGATGAACTAAGTGAACTCGACTTAGCCTCTTCTTTGTTTTATGTAGTGTTTTGTTTTATTCTACTTTATGGATGTTTTGAGATAGGGCCTCATGTATGGATGGCTCAAGCTATCTGTCGTTAAGGCTGGCCTTGAGCCCCTGGTACTCCTGCATCCACCTCCCCAGTGCTGGGAGTATAATCATGGACCATTATGCCCAGATCCCTTCTCTATTTTCTTTTCAGCAGCTTCCTGTCTAAGGATCAGTAATATTCCAGGGAGGGCCTGGTCTGCCTTCTCTACAGTTTGGATCTCCTAGTCATTCTTCCTGTCTTCCCTACTGGAATTTTATAGATAGAAATAAAGCAATAATTTTGGAAAATGAACTTGCTCATATATAAACTTTTATACTATTATATCTTATGTCTGTGATACTAAAAATAAAGCATTAGACATGATAAACAAATTTTTCAATTGTGCTTTCACTTAAATTTTTACCTACACAGTTAAGAGATGAGTGGTAGTCCTTCGGTCAGCTATATAAGCTTACCCTTTTTATGTGAATCATATGCAATATTGCATGAAAGCTAGCAAACTTTTTTTCTAAAGTAAACCCATTATCCATAATAGGGAACTCTATGAACATACATGCCAATAACCAATTATATTATATATTCAACAATGCTTTCCAAAGCATAAAACTAAAAAAAATGAGAGAACTCCTCAGAGAAAAGGAAACATAAAGCACTATACATAAATACTAGAGATTCTATTTGAGCCTCATCTGCAGAATGTATCCCTGGAACTAAGTTCCCAAAAAATTACAAAAAGAAGGAATCAAAAAGCCTCATGAAGTCACAGTTACAGAACAAGCAGCCTTGTAAAGGAAAATACAAGATTTTTTTCAATGAAATTATTATCTCAAGAAGTCATGTTTTAAAAAAAATCATACATTTCCCTTAGGCCATTTCCAGTTTAAAAACTAGATGATATGAGTGTTTATCAGTAGAATTAGTATTTTGGTAAGCACAAAAATCAAATAAGTTTCATTAGCATAGTAAGAAGAAACCATGTCATTAAAGGCATTGTGTTCTTCCCTTGTGATCATAATGAAGCAGCAAGCTTTAATGTCTCATTATTTGAAAGAATCTTTTTCCCCATGTTCTAAACTTGGGGTTGAGGATACTTCTTCCATGAAAGTATATTTGGACAGATAAGAAAACCCAAGATTCCTACAAAGGAAGCTGATTAATCAAGTCCTGTTTTCCAAAACCAAATCATTCTTCAATTCTATTGTGCATATAACTTGGCAATGTGCATAAAACTTGGCAAAGCTTCAGACAGACCAGGCATAACAAAAGGACGAGAGACAAGAAGGGTGGAGGAGAGATGATCGAAAAAGGAAACCCAAGACTTCAGAGAAAAAATAGAAGGTTTGTACATCTAAGACAGAAATTAGCAGACATAAAATGTGAGTGATGACCTCAGGCCCCTTATTTACACTTAAGGTCACTGAAACAGAGCCTGAAGTGCCCACCCTTACCAAGAGTGAAGTAAGAATCAGACATCCTTAAGAGAGCTCTGGCTCACTGGCAAAGGCACTGAGGCACACCTTGAAAATCTTTGGACCAAACCTTATTGGTTTCCTACTCTAGACAGTGAAAACGTGCTGCATCTCACTTTATAAAGCATAAGTTCAACTCTCCCATGATGACATCATGTTTTGAAGGCCATAAGAAGGTTGCCAGGAAAGATGTTAGAACCTTTGCATGTCAGAACTTAACCGAACTAATGCTGCATCAAACTGATGAAGAATTTGTTTTTTATGTGTATGAGTGTATTGGCTGCACCCATGTTGCGCAATGCCTGTGGAGTTTAGAAGGTGTCAAATTCCCCTGGAACTGGAGTTATGGACTGTTGTTAACCACCATGTGGATACTTGGAATCAAATTTAGGTCCTATGCAAGAGCAGCCAGTGCTCTTAACCACTGAGCCATTTCTCTAGTCCTGATGAGGAATTTTTCGATGGAAAAAAAACATTGTATTGTTAAACTGTTATCTAAATCTTTCTGCCTATTGATCAAAATCAAACACTGTTCACACGTATTTTCCATTCTCTGAAATTCTAATGCTAATGAAGAAATGGTTATTTCTGAACATTAGAGCTATTTAATTCCTTACAATGGGGCCAGTGTTTCTGCTCAGGTATAAGGTATGAGTAAAATGTTTAGAAATAAAGTGAAAAATAAAACATCTCACATTTATCATCTAACCTGTTTAAACAAATCTATGTATAGTTGCTGACTAGGAATCCAATCCACTACAGTGATGACCCTGGTGAGCAATCTCCAAATGCATTCCTAAGTGTTTAGCAAACATTCAGCAAAATTCCATGTCCCACACTAGAACAGCGACTAACACAATACATTTTCCCAAGTTCCTAAGACAATGGGTCTAAATTTCTTTAACTCTGAACTGTGATTTCAAAAAAGGGTTGGCATTGAGAGTTCCAGTGAGAGCCTTTTGGGCACCTCATCAAGGGCCAGAGCATCACCTGAAGAGACATCATGTCAGGTCGGTACTGCTTGCGGAAGCCGAGGTCATACATGAGGAACTTTAGCATTTCAAACGCTTGTTCTTCACTCATGTGCAGAAGCAGGACTCCAGCCACAAAGCTGATTCCCTGACAGTAGCCCACCTCTTTGTCCAGCAAAGAATAGGCTTTCAGCAGGTTAAAGAGGGACAGCTGCCCCGCCCCAAGCTGTACTGAAAAGTACGGGTGAGTAGGAAATGTCCTTCCTGCAGAAGAAAAGAGAAATACTTAGAAGTTCTGATGCTTTGAGATCAGAGAGGATGGCAATGCAGTGAGCCAGGGTCAGTGAGCACTGTGCTCAACCGGGGAGTTTCTGCAAGCATTTATCTAGGAGTCTTTCTCTCTCTCCCCCACTGCCCCCCAAGCATTATTCAGCAATTATCCTCCCTTATCCACAACTACAACGCAGAAGCCTCGTTAACCAGCAGCTCTTTCTAGCAGAATAATAACACCCAATGAAACTTTGTTATCAAATGATATAGCCAGGAAAGACTGTAGGAGAATAGATCTTCAGATAATTTATGTAAAGACCACCCTCTAACTAAAATCAGAACTCTAGAAGGTGTCATAATTTAAAGGAAAGTCTTGGTAATCTACAACCTTATTTATTTATTTATTTATTTATTTATTGTATTTTTGTGATATGACCCTGGAAGGACTTTGGGGTTTCATTTGCTTTACTCATGGCCTATCATTTGATAACAAAGTT